GCATGCTATTAGCTTAGCACAAAGACTGGAATCAAATGGAAACTGTTGGTATGCTTCAGGAAAGATGAAACCTCTAAAATGTGCATTCTTGTTTTGTTTTTTAATTTCAGTTTCCTGAAATAAACTTGTTTTCAGTAAATCGGTGATGTGACTGTCCCGAGTTCTTCTGGGCCATCAGCGCCACCGTCCGGAGACCGAAGAGAGTTACGCAGGACTAAACAGTCTGGACCAGCTGGTCCTGTTGCTTAGCAACACAAAGTGACAGCTCCGAGATAAATGACTGAAATCTGGACGGGTCAAAGAACAGAACCTTTAGAACCAGACCCAATCACACAATTAAAAAAAAACTAACAGTTCTGGTCCTGCAGGTCCACTGAGACGTGTCCACATCAGAACCACTGGGTCTGTGGTCAGTCCCCGTGGTTCTTCTCAAGAATCAGTTTGTCCCAGAGCTCCGCCTCCAGGTGTGACAGGTGACCTCTCTGCTGTTGCCAGGCAACCAAGAACCTCAGCGCCACAGCAGCTGTCGTCGACCCGCTGCAGGAGACGCTGATGGACAGAAACCACCGTTAGAACCGAGCCCAGAATTAAATCCAGTTTACAAACAAAACTTTTAATTTGAGGATTATTCTAAAGAAAACTTCATGAAATAAAAAAAAACTTTCTGCTTTTCAAACTTTGACTGAGGAAGCATTCAAAAGTGAGTTTAGACAACGGCGCCGCCTGCAGGTGGAGTCCACTTCGACCACACCTGGGGAAGCTGCAATCATCATCATCCTCACTCTTCAGAGGAGTCACATGATCAGGAAGCCAAACTCAAACTGCTTATTAAAAAAGCTTTCTCTACATTTTATTCTCTTATTTATTTTATCAGTGTTTAATAAGTTTTACTTTATATTTTCCACGTTTTTATGTTTTTTAATATTTATTGCATTTGTAAAACTGTATTTTTAATGACAATTGTCAATAAAACGTCAAAATGAACGCATCGTTTGAGGGTTTTTTTTCCGTTTTTGTCACTTTTGATTCTAAAGGTTTGATTGGCCGAGCCTCCCGAACAGGTACAGGAAGTGATGTGAAACCGGGCGACTCACCTGAACACGGCCGTGTGAACAGGCGTCCAGCAGGCGGATGGAGGCGGAGCTCTGATCCATCAGCTGCCGTCGCACCGGATCGCCGAGGCTGGAGTCTGACGAGACGTCGACCAGCAGACGCAACAAAGACGGCAGGAAGGCGTCGACGCGACGCTCCATCCTGAGGACAGAGGATTCAAACATCAAATGTTTTTATCTGCTCCATACATTCAGACTAAATATTAACTTTTATTTACAAAAATATTTAATTACTTTATATCCAATATTGACCTGAACAGAATGAAATAAACAACTTAGTGTGTGCTCACACCGTGGCCACGCCTCTCTGGTGGTTCTCTGCAGAACCTCCAGGATCTTCAGCCGGCTCGTCTCCTCCGGTGGATCTCTGACCTCCAGGTATCCCAGCACCACCCGCTCCACCCGCCGCAGGTGTCTGCACACAGACACGCCCATCCTGCGCATGACAAACAAACGCACCTGAGAGGCTGCTGTAAGCTCCAGGCTCATGTTCAGACTGAAGACAACATTTCTGCTCATTTGTTGAAAATTACACAAAATTAAAATAAAAAAAAACGTATTTTCCACCGTACACGTCACTTCGCTGTATAAGTTGCATCTATTACATGTCACCGCTGACGCGTCATGTTTGTTGCACGTCACCGCTGACAACCTGGAAATGTGGGCCGGTGGGCCAAAAGTCAATGGGCTGCCAAATGGCAGCCGCGGGGGCATGCATGGGAGGACTTTAACAAGAATTTAACAAGATTAACACTTAAAAACAATTATTTGTTTCCTCTAAATTATAGTAAAGGTGTGTCTCAGGTGAACTTTAACTTAATAAATGCACTTTGACGGTCAAATCAGCTGCATTTCTCCGGGGCGACGCAGCGAGATGCAGCTGATGTGACGGTTGCTCCAGGCGAGCTGGACGAAAGTGGCGGTCTAAGGCAAGCAAACTGTCATTAATAGCCACTTTTACCTATTACATGACACAACGGAATGCCATATGCTCGAGTGCCATCTAGTGGCTGAAAATGTTAGCGTTCAATATTCTCAGTCAGAATGAATGAAAACGATCATATTTCAGTCAAAAATCGGTTCATAAATATGGAAAAAGACAAATAAGTCACTTCGGCGTTTAAGTAAGAGGGAATGCAAATTATGCGGAAAAAACCTCGACTTATACAGCGAAAAATACGGTATATGTTTTTCTGTTAAAATGCCAGAAGGTAGCCAAACGCTAAAACAGTAGCTTAAAGTTAGAATATTAAAAAAATAAATAAAAATGTCCAAAACTCACAATTTACAACATTAACTAAAAGCTAAGATTAGCTAAGTGGTCACTAAAACTACAGCCAGCAAAACAGAAGCTAAAGTTAATACCACAGTAGCTAAAATCTCAAGTTTGCTAAACTGTGCCATTTAGATATCAAAACGGCTCAAACAGCTGAAAGTATGCTGAAGTAGTTTGATGCCAACAAACGAACAACAAACAAGAAAACTAAAGTTCTATGGACCTTTTCCCAGATTCTGAGGCATGTCGTGTAAAATCAGGGACCACGCAGCCGAAACCATTCAAAGTTGTTCAAAGATGGCGTCCAACTCCAGAGTTTGCACCAGAGTTTTACTAATTTTATTTACAAAAACATTTATAAATTGGTTTTATTTACGTTTTAGGAAGGAAATCAAATAGAACTTGTGTTTGGAACTCTGGAGTGAAAATTAAACGCACCTCTCCACATAGAGCGGCAGGGCCGAGACGTAAACACGTCGCAACGCCACCTTATGCTCCGCCTCCATGTGGGTCAGGACCAGACGCAGCACATCGTCATGGCGACAGGGCTTCCTGCGCGAGCAGGAGGGGCCGAGCGAAGAGGGGGGTTTCTCCAAAACGAGCAGCAAGTCGAGGAGACAGGAGAGGACGAGCTGCGGGGACGAAGAGGAGGAGGGAACACTAAGCATGTACAGTGTGTGTGTGTGTGTGTGTGTGTGTGTGTGTGTTACCTGGATGACAGCTGCTTCGCTCGTGTACAGGTGTTTGAACAGAGCCTGATACAGAACCTCCGCTCTGTTAAACTGACGAAGATCTGCAGCGGGCTGAAACACATCATCATCATCACATTTAGCCAGCTGCCTTCAGTTTTAGCTACACTTCTGCAACAATTAGCACGCCTTTTGCCATGTTTAGCTTGAAGTTATCCTTTAGCTGTGTTGAGCTTCTATTTACCATTTTGGTGATTTAGCATTCAGCTACTTCATTTAACTTTTTCAAAACTTTTGCCACCTGTTTCTAATTAGCTATTTATTACATTTACCTAGTCTGCTGCTACTTTTAGCTACTATTTTGATACCATTAGTTCCTAGCTACCCTTCTGGACCAATTAGCATGCCAGTTGAAACTTTTGGCTTTTAGCTAGCATTGTTCTATTATAAAACAACTTTTGTTACGTTCAACCTTTATCTGATTCTGCTTTTATTATTTATATATTATTTCCATGTTTACCTTTTAGCTACCATTCACTTTTAACTAGCTCTTTGCTACCTTTAGCCATTAGCTTCTTTTAGCTTGTGTGCTGCCTCTATTAGCATCATTCAGGACTCTCTGTTTTTGAACTCAAGCGTATAAAAGTTCTGACCGTGTTCAGCACGATGTGGTGCAGGCAGCGAACTCCCAGCATGCAGTTCTCCGGCTTGTAGTGGTCATTGAGCAGGAGGGAGGGGGGGAGGAGGAGGGGGAGGTGGGGGGACAGGAAGGGGCGGGTCACCTGTGAGAAATGGAGACGTGAGGATTACAGAAAGGTCTGAGTGAAGGTCAAAGGTCAAACTGACCTGCAGGAGGGTCCAAACAAACACCAGCTTCATGGCCTCACAGCGCTGCCACGAGTCCCTGTGACACAAACACCAGAACCAGACTTTACAACCCGGTTCTGAAAAACAGCATTTCCTGCTGCGTTTGGACCTCACATCCACAAACACAATTTTGAAAAGCATTTCCTAAACGAAGATTCTTTTAAACCAGCAGCGAGCTCAGAGTCTCACTTGGTGAGCTGAGGCTGCAGGAGGTCCAGGACTCCTCCCAGAATCCCTCTGTCTCCCATCAGGAGGTGGGCGGAGTCTGTCCAGCCGCCAGCCCTCAGCAGCGCCTCATGAAGGCGCCGAGCTGCTGTCCTGGAGGCGGCACTGGTCCACACCTGATCCTGCAGCTGAAACACAGGATGATGTCACAGTTTGGTCCTTCAGCCTGAAATCTGATTGGCTCAGCCTGACGAGTTGTCAGCATCAGCACCGACTCCAGCTACGGCATCACAAGACATTCGCTGCCTTACCTGAAAATGTGTGATGGAGAACACGCAGATGGGTGGAGCCACAATGAAGACTAACTTTGTCACTTTTCCTCTGGCCCTTCCCCCTTTGTCCCAGTGTTCCAGCAGTGCTGTGAGGGCGGAGCTTACTGCGGCGGCTTGACTTGGGACACTGCGATAGGCCTCAGCACTCAGAGAGCTGCTGTCGTTCTCACAGAGAGGAAGAGCTGCACAGCCAATCAGAGCGCTGATCACAGAGCTGTACGCCACCTGCAGCTCCTCCCACCCGCTGTTCTGATCATCTGGCGCCAGAGAGAACAGCCAATCAGGATCTGCTGCTTTAAAGAGCTGCGCCACTTGACCAATCAGGGAGCTGCTCTCAGAGGGTTTATCAGCTGCACCAATCAGCTTCTTCTGCAGCCAAGAGAGGAGCTCTGTGATTGGAGGAAGAGGGGGAGAGGGGTGGGGCTTCTCTGATGGTGACGAGGAAAGACGGAGGTCGTGAAGGAGAGATGAGAGGTCCATCCTGAGAAGGAGAGTGAATGAGAAGTGTTCTGTTTGAATGTATTAAAATAATCAAATTATTGTGAAGTAAAATCAGAAAAAAAATCAAAAAGTCAAATCTTAAAACAACGTGCAGCTGCAAACACTCGTATCTGTAAAACTGATTAAACTAGATTTATTTTTTAATAAACTAGAATTAATCTGGAGTTTTTCCTCCTCAGGGCACGGTCCTCTCAGTTTCTGTTCCTCTACACCTCGGACTTCAGGTCCAACTCTCAATCCTGCATCTGCAGAAGTTCTGGATGATCTGCCATTGTGGGCCGCACCACTGGTGACCAGTAAGGTGAGCACAGAGGTGTGGTGGACAGAACCAGCTGCAGCTCAACGCTGGACAAACTAAAGAGCTGCAGGTGGACCACAGGAAGAAGATCAGCCCCCCCAACCCTGTCAACATCAAGGGAACTGAGGTGGACACTGTGGACTGCTACAAGTACCTGGAGGTCCACCTGGACCATAAACTGGACTGACAGCTGACACCAACGCCTCTACAAGAAAGACAGGGTCGCCTTTTTCTTCTGAGGAGACTCAGGTCCTTTAACATCTGCAGGACCATGCTGCAGATGTTTTACCGCTCGGTGGTCTCCAGCGTCTTCTTCTACGTTGTGGTGTGCTGGAGCAGCAGGGTGAAGAAAGCTGAAGCCAACAGACTCTGTGAACTCGTCAGGAGCTGGTTCAGTTCTGGGAGTGGACCTGCAGTCTCTGAGCAGAGGATGCTGAGGAACCTGCTCCAGATCCTGAACAACACGTCACCCCCCCCCCCTGCATGACACCCTGGACTCTTCCTGCAGCACCTTCAGTCGTAGACTGAGACCAGGAGGTGCTCACAGAACATCACAGGAAGTCCTTCAAACTGTTAAACTCCGCCCCCTTTCTGCACAATAAAATTAATCTGCACCAAAATAAACTCTTTCATGTTTCTGTCTGCACTGATCTGTTTTAGAACTAAATTAATTGCTGGTACGTTTTATATTCTCAGTTATTTTTATAACTTGTGATTACTTGTGCATGTTCCTTTGTACTGAAACTCTGGCACAACAATTTCCTGCGGGGTCTATGTTCTATAGTTCTATGTTTTGTAGTTCTATGTTTTGTACAGGCAGCCATCTTGAACTAGGTTGGTTTTAAAAGTTTCTTTCATCCAATGATTACTGTCAGACATTTTCCATAAAACTCATCCAGTAATTCATGACATATTTTGCTAACAGAGAGAGAGGGATAAAACATGGCTGAGAAACAAAACCGTCCGCTTTTAGTAACAAAGTAAACATTTAAAGAAGAAACAGTTTCTGACTCAAACTGTTTGTTTTGTGCCTCCATTAAATTTCAGACGCTGGTTTCCAGCAACCTTTGCTCCTTGACAAACCAGGGACTAAAAACTAAACTTTTCAGACAATAATAATAACAATAATGTAAACAACAACAAGCTGCTGTCAGTCACAAACAGCTGACTTGTGTTTAACTGCATGAATCACGTTTGTTTTAAATACGATTATCTCCTGCTGTTTGTTCCCGCTTCTGTTATTTTATTAGTTATTTAATTTGTTTTCTCACGTGCTGTTTGATTAAACGAGCCCACCGAACAGTCTCGTGCAGCCCGGGTCGACCCTGACACCAGCCGTTCCTCCGCTCAGGCCCGACCTGCTTCGTCTCCGCCAGACTCCGTTCAAATTGTGTTGAATTTTAAAACCATCGCTACAGTCCGGCGCATTTAACAAGGCGGACCGGGTGCTTCCGCTAAAATCTTCCGGTTGGGTACAAACTCGTTACCGCCACCTGCTGTTCCGCAAACAAATGACCGTTTCTTTTCCCGCGGATTCTGGAGAACTGACTGACTGCTTATCGCCCGTCTGTCGGTGGCGGCGGGCAGTTATGTTTTTGTTCACTTGTAAGTTTGTTAGCTAAATATCTCACTGAGCGAATTTTAATGAAACTTTGAGAAGGTAATATCTGGATAGTTAGGATCGGTCCACCTGTTGATTCAGATTCAAGATGGCCGACGTTAAGTTTATTTATTTATTTATTTATTTATTTAAATTTTATTTATTTATTTATTTTTGACAATAGAACAATACAAAACATAAAAAAACATACAAAACTAATGGCAATGACCTTTTCACATTTAACATTCTTTCCAGATAAAATATTTTAAATAATCCTCCTAACTAATAGTAATATATTGGTTTAACAACAAGAAACAACTGAACTGGAGAAAAAGAACAAAAAATAAATAAATAAAAACAAGCCCAAACAAACAAACAACAAAAAACAAAGTAAAATAAAGAATTAAAAGCAAAGATAAAAATAAAACCTGGGGTTTATAGCAAATTAAATTCTAATTGAGAAAAGTTTGATTGCAGGGGCTGTATTATTATTTTTTTTAAAGTTATACAAAATAATAAAAACTCATTTTTTAAGCTTTTACAATTAAAAGAGATTTTGTAAAACGACATTTATGAATGCAATATTTGGTAAGCACTAATATTTATCAAATACTCAACTTTTTTTAATTCCTTATTGAATTTGTAAATTTGATCCCTTTCCAGGAAAAATAATGGATTTGAAGAGACTTGGATATAAACAGTTATGTATTTCCTTCCAAAGATTATTTACAATCTCACACTCATAAACAAATGTTCTGTTGATTCCAACGATGATTTATAAAAATAACATTCTTCCATTTGAACATTCTTTTAATGAATTCCTGTGAAGGGTAAATTTTATTTACAATGTTAAAGTGGATTTCTTTAAATTTAGGAGGGATTGGATATTTAAAAAATTTAGTTAAATTCAGTTTATTTCTATAGAGCAAAATCACACCAAAGTTTTGATTGATCGAATTTCTTGTTTGTTAAAGTTTTTTAAGTAATATGTTCTTTTAGACCTCGTCCATTACGAGTGTTCTCAAAACTGTTATTGCACTTTTTGTCTACAAAGTTTATGTCATTGATTATTATTTTATGCAATCTATGGGTTGTGGTCTGATCTAAGTTATTCCTGATTAAATTAATCATAGCTCTTGGAATATTATCAACCACATTTCTGTAATCCTCAGGGGTACAGATTATTTTATATTTATTACTAAATTCCTCATATTTTAACAAATCCCCTTTATCATATGAACAATAGACCCAATTTGTTTTTCCATCCTTCCATGAACATTATGTTCTTCTCCTCAGAATCACCTGCTGCTCCACAATGGGACATTATGTGGACTAAAGTTATGCTGCTCAAACATTTTCCAGTAGAACAGGAAATGAAAGGCCGAGAGTTTCACGGGTAACTTCCTCAAAGTCACATTTCAAAAGTACATCTGTGCCACACAGTTTCCCAAACGCAGTTAGGTAAAGCAAACCAAATGTCTGCTCCTTCTCAGGAATGACTGGAGCCATCTTAGCTTCAGTCCATTCATGGTTTCAAAACCAGTCACTTTTATTCCTCCCTCATAACTTTTAATCACGTCTGCTTCTCTGATATTATAAAGTTTATTCTTGTTGAAAATTAAGGTGTGCATTTCTTTTATGGTTTTGTTGGAAAGGGGTAAAGCATAACTGGGATATATTAGTCTGGAGATAAATTCAGTTTTTGTCAATAACGATGTTCCAAATGGCCGAAGGTAAGTTACCCTAAAACCTCTGAACTGATTCAGTCGTCTTTACAAAAACGTGACTGAACTGAGTGTGGTAGTAGCTGAGAGTGATCAGCAACACATCCTCTGAGCTCCATGCAGCATATTACACAAAACCTTTATTAACATTTATTACCATAAAACACTTATTAATAGTTGTCATTAATCATTTTTGTCTGTTAGTAAAATATCTCAGGAACCACCAGTCCAACTTTATTTTTAATTTTTTCGGCTGCTCCTTCTTCGGGGTCTCCACAGTGAACTAACCCCACGGTGAACTAACTCTACAGTGAACTAACTCTACAGTGAACTAACTCTACAGTGAACTAACTCCACAGTGAACTAACTCTACAGTGAACTACCTCCACGGTGAACTAACTCCACGGTGAACTAACTCCACGGTGAACTAACTCCACTGTGAACTAACTCCACTGTGAACTAACTCCACTGTGAACTAACTCCACGGTGACCTAACTCCACTGTGAACTAACTCCACAGTGAACTAACTCCACAGTGAACTAACTCCACAGTGAACTAACTCCACAGTGAACTAACTCCACAGTGAACTATCTCCACAGTGAACTAACTCCACAGTGAACTAACTCCACGGTGAACTAACTCCACAGTGAACTAACTCCACTGTGAACTAACTCCACTGTGAACTAACTCCACTGTGAACTAACTCCACAGTGAACTAACTCCACGGTGAACTAACTCCGCGGTGACCTAACTCCACGGTGAACTAACTCCACGGTGAACTAACTCCACGGTGAAATAACTCCACAATGAACTAACTCCACGGTGAAATAACTCCGCGGTGAACTAACTCCACGGTGAACTAACACCACGGTGACCTAACTCCACAGTGAACTAACTCTGCGGTGAACTAACTCCGCGGTGAACTAACTCCACGGTGAACTAACTCCACAGTGAAATAACTCCACAGTGAACTAACTCCACGGTGAAATAACTCCACAGTGAACTAACTCCACGGTGAAATAACTCCACAGTGAACTAACTCCACGGTGAAATAACTCCACAGTGAACTAACTCCACAGACCACTGAGCTCCCACAGCCCTCCGTGTGGAGCAGAGTATCTCGGGAGCAGATGGTGGGAGTTAAAGGCCTTGCTCAAGGGCCCAGATTGAGGCAAACGAGGGTGGAGGCAGGTGTTTCACCTTTCCCACCCACTTTTTGATGCTGTTGGTCCAGGGAATCAAACTGGCAACCTTCCAATCACAGGCCCACCTTCTCTAACCTCTGCACCACCACTACCCCACCGGTCCAACTTTAATGAAGCTCATAAAACGTAATCAATCGATGCACGTCTACAACTGTTTATCTTGAATCAAGATGCAAGATGGCTGCCACAGCTAAGCAACATTAGCAATATAAAATGTCTCTAACTTCAGTTTACAGATGCTGAGACTCAGACGGTGTGGTAGTAGCTGACAGTCGACCTCCACGCCCTCTGAGCAGTAACACATCTTGTGACATGTGGCTGTGGCGGCCATCTTGACTAAAACTGTCATTGAAGGTGGTGGACGGTGTGTTTTAAAAAATGTTTTTACCAGTTTTATTTATAAAAGTAGTCTTCACAAACAGAGTCACCGAGTTAAAACTTTACGACTTCTCTGTCCTTGATGTTTCTAAAAGTCCTGCAGCTCAAAATATTTTCAGCTTCCACTGGATTTCATTTGTCGGGCCGGGGTTAGATGAACCCGGTTTAATCTGCAGAAATTTAAGGCTCAGCCAAACGTAAGCTGGAGATTTATCCTCTGAATTCCTTCGGCTGCGCGTCTGATGGGTTCGTTTGTAAAATAAAGACAATTGAATTAAAAAAGACCTTTAAAGTAATAAAAAGGCCGACGGCTCCTCATAAAACGTGATCACTCCTGAGCCGGCCTGTCTGCGCACGTCGGCTCAGTGTGCACGACATCACAAGGATGTGTGTGTCTGTGGGGATATTAGCAGCAGATTAAAGCCACGACACACTTTTAAATGATTTCTAACCTCTTATTAGACGAACATGAGCGTCAGAGATTCAGGTCCAAAGACTGGAGTGTTTCCTGCCTGTGCACACAGAACCACATCAGAGCTCCGACACAAAGGACACAAACGCCTTTGAAGGTTCTGCAGGGGTTCTTCAGGTTTCAAAGCAGGAGGAAATGTTCTGAAGCTGCTGTGATCTGCTGTCAGAGGATGTTATTAACACGCCGTTAAATATTCACAGGGGCAGTTTGTTCCATCTGAGCCGAACTGTGACACTAAACTGTTTCATTCATAAATGTTGACTTTTCATCCAGAGCCGTCTTCACTCTGGGTCCGTCTGTTGTTCTGGACAGAAGAGAGCTTCATTCTGAAATGTGATGAAACTGAGTCCAGGTTTAATAACAGCAGCGGTTTGTGAAACGATTCTTGAGCTTTTCATCTACTTCCTGTTTACCTTTCCATCTGAAGGAGCTCCTGTCCCGTTTATCTCCTCCTCCGAGGAAGAACCGAGCCGACAGGAAATTAAAGAGCAGATAAGAAGCGTCCTGAAGCACGGCGAGCAGCTTCACACATCACAGAGGCTGATTCACTTCAGCTCAACACCTGAACATCAACAGGTAAACACCGCTGGGCTGCAACATCTCAACACTTTGCTTTCAAACTGAAGAATAAACCCACGGACGTTCTGTCAGAACACAGTATGTACTGGGAGGACTCTCAGCTACTACCACATTAAATCTTTTGTTCTGGTGATGGACCGACTATGAGGTCAGGCAGGAATCCCCGTGGACGATGATGTGTGCAGATGATATTGTGATCTGTGGTGAGAACAAGGAACAGGTGGAAGAGAACTTGGAGAGGTGGAGGTATGCACTTGAAAGAAGAGGAATGAAAGTCAGTCGTAGTAAGACAGAGTCCATGTGTGCATGAGAGGGAGGAGGTGGAACAGTGAGGCTACAAGGAGCAGAGGTCACAAAGGTGCAGGACTTCAAGGACTTGGGGTCCACTGTCCAGGAACATGGGGAGTGTGGTGAAGAGGTGAAGAAGAGAGTCCAGGCAGGATGGAGTGGATGGAGAAAAGTTTCAGGAGTGATTTGAGACAAAAGGGTGTCAGCAAAGGTCAAAGTTTACAAGACAGTGGTGAGACCAGCTATGTTGTATGGTCTGGAGACAGAGACATGGACAAAAAGACAGGAGACAGAGACATGGACAAAAAGACAGGAGACAGAACTGGAAGTGTCAGAAATGAAGATGTTGAGGTTCTCCTTAGGAGAGACAAGGATGGAGAAGATCAGGAATGAGATGATCAGAGGTACAGCACAGGTTGAACACCTGGGAGATAAAGTTAGAGAGGACACACTGAGATGGTTTGGACATGTCCAGAGGAGGGACAGTGGTTTGGACATGTCCAGAGGAGGGACAGTGGGTATGTTGGTAGAAGGATGTTAGAAATGCAGCTGCAGGAAAAAGACAAAGAGGAGACATATGGATGCAGTTAGAGAGGACATGGAGGTAGTTGGAGTGAGGACAGAGGACACAGAGGACAGAGTGAGACGGAGGATGAGGACTCTTTGTGGAGACGCCTAAAGAGGAAACAGCTGAAGGAAGAATTGTTAAACTGATTAGACTCGTTGCTGTGAGTCACCTTCAATGAATTCTGCAAATTTTGGAAAAACTGTCCTTAAAATTAATGAAACTTCGTTTGATCTTTTAGATCCCGACCTCCATCTGGACATTTAGGGATCCTTTCTTCAGGAGGTGCAGATAAGAATTAGCCCGACACAGTGATTTCCTTTGGCTGATTAATATTTGCAACATCTTTTTAAAATAACCGGTTTCTGACTTTATGAACCCATAAAGTGACGATAAAATGTCTCGGACTGTGTCTGAGAGAGCTTCAGGTCAAAAATGACAAAAAACATGAATCCTGCTCAAGAGTTGGTTCTTTGGTTTCTTTTTGGACGGGCTGGTCAAACTGAACATGCATGTACATAACACGTATTCAGAAAATGGGCGGGGCTTCGTAAACATCAGCTGAAGATAATCAGACATCTTTTAAAGGAATTTGCATCATTCACATTAACGACTGTAAACCTGCAGCGATAAACAAATCTGTTGACAAACAACAACACGAGCACACGGAGCCTTCGTGTCACTCTTCGGTCTCTTCTTCTTCACTGTAGTCGCTCAGAGGAAACTCACGACTCTCCTTGTGGGTGTTGTAGTTTTTCCTGTGCATCACACACTCCTGGTCGATGATCGCCTGCAACAAACACGACGGAGAATGAATTCAGCTCCGCGCTGTTTTCATCTTTATATCATTTAATCAAAGAACGTTTCAGACGATTTCAAGTTCGACAGAGAAAATGTCAAATCTGAACTGTTGCTGGAACTCATGGATTTTTTTTTTTTGACAAAACAGCTGAACGTCATCTGCATAGATTGTTGTTATCATCGTCCACCAGCCGAAACGTGATGGCAGGTGATACTTTCAGTAAATAATGTCTGGACGTAGGTCAACAACTAACGAAGCTTTGGAGTCAACTCAATTCAAGATGGCTGCCACAGCTGCTTGAACTTCAAGACACAAAAACAACTATAATTCAATTCTACACATCTGAAGTGTGCTGTTAGTAGCTGAGAGTAATGTCCAACATAATTTATTGACATTACTGATCTACACAAGCCTTTTGTTAAAATTTTACTCATAACTCTTTAGAGTCAACTGTGTCTGTCTGTTAGCAAAATATCTAATGAACCACTGGACAGACTTAAATTAAACTTTCAGAAGTTTATCTCTATAAATTTCTACAACTGATTGATATTTAGAGTCAGCTCAAATCAAGATGGCCCCCACAGCTAATCCACGTTGGTCAACACAAAAATGACTATTCCTCAGTTATTTTTACAGACACGGCGAATATTTGATGTGAGATTGTGCATCACTTTTTAAAAAAGCTTTACTAAAATAACTACAGGTCTGTTGTGATGAGCTCAGCCTGAAACGCTGGCATGAAAGCAGCGGGTGATATGCATTCCTTCCAGAAATGTTGTCTTTAGTTATAACTTATCCGTATTATTATAGTCATGTAAAAGGTGAAGATTGTGAAAATAGAACAACAAGAGTCCTAAAGCGGATCCATGAGGAACATCACAGCTAAGCTTTGATGTGTTAAATTATTCAAAGAGATGTTTGAAAATTAAAAAACTAAACAAAGAGCCAGAAGATGAAATCAAACTTCAAATCTCGTATCGTGTTCAACGTGTTTGTGAGAAATTCATACAGAAATCAGTGCAACGTTAAATAAGTCCATCCGACCCGCGGGTCGAAGAATTAACATGAACAAAGTCGTGGCTTTGGACCGGACCGGACCTCTCCACCAAGTTTCTTAAAACTCTGCAGATAACTTTGGTGGAATCTTAAAAACAGGCAGAACTTAAAGTACACAGTCAGCAGCATGTAACCAGCCGGTACCAAACTGGAGGTTCTGTGGACTTGTTGTCCTCAGCAGTGAGACAGTATGAAGAGAAACCACGAGGACCACGCGTCCTGGATGATTCACCTGCAGCTTTGAAGGACGCCACCTCTGATCTGTGATCAGGTTCATCGTTGTGTAATGACTCCACAAACACACACTTTGGTCTCCACATCACAAGAACACACTTCCTGCTCATGTGCCGGGCCGGGCCGCCATGCTCGCTGTGAGTCTGAGCTGATTCCATCAGCCGCAGCAGAGCGACGACGACAACAACAACAACAACAACAACTGAAGAGGCTGATTGTTTGTTTAAGCATCTGTTCAGGAAACATGAGAAGGTGAGGCGGTGGCGTCACCTGAGCCGACCAATCACAGCAGCTGCAGAGGGTTTAACCACAAAAAACAAACAGTCTTTAACTGGACCGTTGCAGCTCATTGGTTCGGTTCTTTCTGACCCGTTCTGTTGTACATCAGCTGCTGTGTTTGGGATCACAGTTCTGTTGGACCCAGTTTGGTCCAAGCTTCAGCTGTTGGACAGATGGACTTGTTTGACTCCAGAACCATTTGGTCTCCAGTGGAGTTCTGGTCCACTCAGGGACTGACAGGAGTCCAAACCATCAGCCCTCCATCACCGTGCTGACAGCTGGGAGGAGCTGCTTGTTCTGATCAGAGACTGTTTTGAACTAGAACTCTGACCAGAACCCAGAACGTGAAGCTGGAACAGGTTTGACTTTCCCGTCAGTTCATGTTTTAAGCTCCGCCCCCTCCACATAAACAAACTGGCCTTGGTTAAATAAAATCATTCCTCTCAGATTGTTGTTCAGTTTTTACCTTCAGTGATCAAATTTTCATTTTTATTTTAGCTGTAATTAGCCATTTGAAGCTTAAAAGAAAGGTCATGTGACACCATGATAGTGCACAGTGGAGTGGGCGGGGCTTAGAAAAACACATCATTAGTGACTCTGGTTCCAAAAATACAACATGGCAGCTTTTGTCAACGTGCTGGCTTCAACTCCCAGCGCTGGAACACCTGGTCTAAAACAAAAAGTCTGTTCATCTCCAAGCACGCTGCCAAGTTGAGCTGCCACGTCGTTTTTAGACAGAAGAGGCTCCAAACAATCCATGACCTTTGACCTGCTGAGGCCGGTAGAGCCTGAGATGTTAATATTTCCTTCTTTACATCTGATGAAGTCCTTGAGAACACAGAATCTGCCCAACTTTGATGTTGAAACAACCTGAAGCTGACCTGCTTCATCTCGTGTGCAGTATTTACCATTTTCTCCTCTCGGACAGCCGGGTTACGCAACAGGAAGCAGAGCGGAGCGTACAGGATGTTGATCACTCCGATGAACACCATGAGCCAAGGGAAGCCCACTGCCTGGACCAGAGCGCCCCCTGTGGACGGCCCTGAAACAACAGAGAGGATTTTCATTTTATTATTAAACCAGTTTACAAAATTTACTCCACTTCATGTTTAGTGTTTTATTTTTAATGAGGACCACAGTTCCCATCAGCTTCAGATGTCTTTTGTCCCTCCTTCAGTGGTTTTGTGTGTTACCTATAGCGAAGCCCATGCACAGCGCCACGTCAGCGATGGCGTACACGCTGCCGTACACAGAGGCGTGGCGGATGTCCACAAGGTAACCCATGATGGCCATCATGGAAGAGTCCACCATACCTGAAACACAAACATCGTCACAGGTTCACACGTGGAACACGTCTAAAAACGCCAAACTTTAAAAAAAATCAGTTAATGAGCAAAATTCACCGATGGCGAAGCCCAGTCCTCCGTTTGGCCCAATCAGACCGTAGATACTGGTGGCAAAAGGAACCTGAACCAAAGAAACAAACAGGTGGATGGATGATGATGGATGAAGGATGGATGGATGATGGATGGATGATGGACGGATGAACTCACACACAGCAGACTGATGCCGACGATGAACATCCCCAACATGGAGCACAGCCACCTGCAGACACACGAACATCTTCAGGTTCTACCAGCTGCTGGTTCACAAGAAACCTGCAGGATCAGGTCTGAGCAGGATCAGGTCTGATCAAGGTCAGGTCTGAGCAGGACCCTGGATTCCACTTTCCACTAGGGCTGGGGGATATATCGAATATACTTGATGTATTGAGATTTTCTCTATTTACGATGGTTTAAATGGCTCTATCTCAACCATCGAGTATTACTAGACAGGAAATACGTGTAGTTCTTTTTCTCCCGCCTGCGCCTCCAACTTCACACAGCCCCTCCTTCTCCCTCTCTAAATACTAACTCAGCCCCCACCTGGGCACGCTACCCTCACTTCCTGCTTCTCCAGGTGGGGGGCGGGGGGAGGAGTTAACACAACAAGTAAACACGGGAGATATGAAGAGCAGCTTAGCTGCTGAGCAGAAAGAAAAACAATGGCTGTTATTTGGAGATGGTTTGGCTTTAACTTGTCAGATGAGCAGCAGAAAAATGTTTTCTGTAGACGATGCCGAAAACAAGTCCCAAATAAAAGGTCGGCACTACGAATCTTTTCCACCATTTAAAACAGCATTATCAAGTTATAAGCTGCAGCTCCGACTGTGTTTTCAGCCTCCTTCCCTGAAACAAACCACGGTATAAAATTAATTTAGCTGTGCTGTGACTTATGAGAGGAACAGAGAGCTGCCGCAACATCAATAAATCAGCAGCTTTTATCGTTGAAGACACGGTCCCAGTCTCAGCCGTGGAACAAGACGGCTAAAGTTAGCCGTCTTGTTAGCCACTAAGGACCGTGTCTTCAGTGATAAAAGCTGCTGATTTATTGATGTGGTGCTGCTTCACACACGCTTACTAACGTTGTGAAGGCGGCGCAGCTGAACAGGATTATTATTTAATATATTTAAATAGGTTATTTTTTTAGACATTTAGTAGAGTTACAGCTGGTTGTTAATAAATGTGCCTGTGTGACAACTGGGACAAACTTTAACTCAGAAATATATTTTTGTTACTTTGTGGGAAGAAAGAAATATTGATTCATTCAACATTTATTTCTACAGGTTAGTCTCACGGAGCCATGGGACTCATTTACAAGAGAGACACGTTTTAACAAAGAGTGATGACAACAGTTGACAATCATAAAAGTGTAAAATTGAAAAAATAAATGGACGAAAATGATTAAAAAACAAAACAAAAACAGCTACATTATAAAGCGATGTAAAATAAAAACAGGAACATGTCTGCGTTGGCTTGTGCCATGAACTTAGCAGATGTTTGAATATCGAGATATATTGTATATCACGATTTATATTAAAAATATCGATTAATTTTGGTTCATATTGCCCAGCCCTACTTTCCACCAGAGTTAATCTGCTTCTTTCCCACATGGACAGACCCTCATGAAACCACTTCCTGTAAACCCCATCAGATTTTAACTGCAGAGAAGCTTAAAAACGAGACCTGGGGATGGAAGAGTCTTAATTTAAACTGTTTCCAGTAAAATGTTTAGTCAGAGAAAGTTCTGAACACTGATTCAAACTTCTGTTTGCTTTTGTTATTTTGACTTTTTGTTCTATCTGACTGTTGTGTCTCATTTATTGTGTTTCGTCTCGGCTCTTCCAAACAGCAGCTTTAACGAACGAGTAAAAGTGACCAACAAGTTCTTCTTCAACGGGAGCAGAGAAAACAAACCCACTGACCGTCCCATCTTATTGGCCAGAACTCCGAACAGGTTGGTTCCGATCAGGTACGAGATGCTGGCAGGAAGGAAGGCCATACCTGCAACGCACACCGAGCTGTTCAACCACGCGACAGAAAGGACCACCTTCAGGGATCCAAGCTTCAATTCTTTACATTTTAGTTTTTTTACTCTCCTAACTTGTCTGATCAGGGTTCGGATCAGAAGTGGATCGTACCAAGTTGCCATTTCGGGGAGCACATGGTCTGCATCATCCAGATGGGCAGAGTCGGCTCCAGGATGGCGACGCCCATGTTGGCGAAGCAGAGAGATCCTGCAGACAGAAGAACAGATGGACTCTGATGAAGAACGCTCTGATGGTCCACAGAACTCAGATCTCCACAACCCTAGAACATGAATTTATTTGGGTTAAAACGAGATGTTCAAGGAGAGCCGAAGCTGCTTACCTGCACTGATGAGGATGTACGGATCTTTCAGCAGAGTCAGTAAAGGTGTTCCCTCCACACTCTGAAACACAAAGAGAGCTGAAACTGGCCGTCGTGGGTCTGAACTAACAAACCAGAACTGTCGGAACTGAGGCCTTCAGAAATCTGACACCTTGAGTAAAGATGAAGGTTAGAAGTCACGAGGACTTGGACTGGTTGTAAGCAAAAAGTGTGAAAGTTTTCCACATGTGGCACTTGTTTGTGCAAATATAAGTTCTGTTAAGTTCTGTTATGGTCTAAAAGATGCTGTGTATGAAGATGAAGCTAGAGATCTTCTGCTTGGGTCAACCTGACCCAGGAGTTTGAACAGAACAAGGTTCTTGTCAAGGGCTGTCCCTGGTCTCCGATCCTGTTTGTGGTGTTCATGGACAGGATGTCAAGGTCCAGTCATTGAGAGGAGGGGGTCTGGTTTGAGAACTTCAGGGTCTCGTCTCTGCTTTATGCAGATGATGTGGTTGTGTCTTCAGGCCAGGACCTTCAGCGTGCACTGGGGCAGTTCACAGCCGAGTGTGAAGCAGCTGTAAGGAGTCATGGTTCTCTTCAGGTCGGAGGAGTGTCAGTGGGCGTCTCGTCCCTGAGTGATGGATGGAGCAGGAGATGGATCAACGGAGAGAGGTCTTGTCCTCAGTAATGAGGCTGTTGCTCCAGTCGACCGTGATGAATGAATAGTTGAAAGGTAAAGCTCTGTATTTCCTGGTCTGTCTACATTCCAGTCCTCACCTGTGGTCATGAGGTATGAAATCCTGGGGGACAACTCAACTCGCTGGGGGGATTGTATGTCTTCTCTGGCCTGGGAACTCCCAGGGGTCTTCCAGGAGGAGCAACCCAACGGGTAGGAGAGGGAAATGTTAAGAAATATCTACTGTGTATAACAAACACGTTCCAAAAGGTCAGAGAAATGTCCCACCATGGTAGAAAACCACCTGTTGTCACCCTGGATTTAGATTTTGTTGTTGCTCATTGCTTTTGTGTTGATAAAATCCAGGTTGCTGTCACACCTGAGACTTTCCTTTTAACTGATCAGAAAAGACTGGATCAGGAGTTTTAGGCTGGACTCTGCTCTGAGGGACATTTCAACAACAGAAGCAACATAATTTAATTTGGACTCACCCCAGGAGAGATCTTTGAGGGCTGCAGGATGCACAGCTGCAACACTGCAACACAAACACAGGTAAGACCAACACCACTGATGCACTCACCTCCACCTGCAGGGGGCAGCACTGAGTCTGAGGCCCCGTCCGGATGAGAACGGTTTATTTTTGTGCTGTTTCAAAAAATATCCTTTAAACATTGCTGCATTTCTACAAATGACTTCATCCACACTTAAATATCTAAAACAACTGAGGTAGGACCTCCATAATGAAGGTACAGAAGAGACTCTGACTTCAAAAATACAACATGGCTTCTTCTCCAAGCTTCTTTGACTTCACTTGTAATCAATGGGAAAAGGCAAAGATTCTTCATCCAACTTTGAAATGTCCATGGTCGAGATACGTGCACATAGTGGACGCTTTTCAGTCTTCCATCCATTTAGGGATGGCTGGAGGGAGTTTTCCTGTAATGTTATATTCACACCTGCCATTTTCCTACATCTCCCAACTATTTTTAAATGTGTACTTGATGTATGCGGTAGATTTTATTCTGATACATTTATTTTTGTGTGTTGTTGACAGTTAAATAAAGTGATAAAAAGGTTGGCTGTCAACATAAACAACATAAAAACACAAAACTCTTTTTTCCAGAGCCCAGGTTTCAAAAAGATCATTTACGGGCTTCTAAAAGGCTGTTTCCATGTGGATGCAAAGCGTATTCACAAATGTGGATGGGGCCTGGATCTTTCACTCCTTACCTCCATCAAACACAGCCAGGAAGGCCAGGATCAGAAAGGGGGCGCTCTTCCCCACAAACTCGTACATTACGCTGCCAAACGGGGCTCCAACTGGAACAACAAACACAGTCAGGAACATTTTCACAGAGAAATGTTTCGTTCCACATCTAGCACCACTACAGACTGTGGTCGTTCTCACTTAGGACTCCCATCGCCAGCCCCCCCAAGGCGATGCCCATGGCGACTCCTCGCTCCTCATCATTGGTATACACGCTGGCCAACATGCCAAGACCTAAACACACGAACACACCAAGATTGAGCATTAGTTTGTTACCTTGCAGGTGAGTTCCACGTTCACCACCTAAACGCTTCCTGTATTGTCCCAAATGTCTTAATCAAATCTAATTTTAAACTGTTTATAATTGAATAATTGTTAACTGGTGTTATTAACTGTTATTATATATGCTTCCATTAGGTAAAGTTATTAAACAGCATAAATGTTCATTGTTATGCTGATGATACACAGTTATATTTGTCCATAAAACCCAATGAATCCAATCAGCTACTTAGACTACAAGCATGTCTTAAAGACATAAAAACATGGATGACACTAAATTTTCTACTTTTGAACTCAGACAAGACTGAGGTTTTAGTTTTTGGACCTGAGCACCTTAGGAATAGACCTCGCATCTTTTCACTTCCTCTGGATGGCATTCATTTGGATTCCAGTTCTAAAGTTAAAAACCTTGGTGGTATTTTTGATCAGTATGTCTTTTATGTCTGCTCACTGAGATCAGCTCTACCAACTGCACCACTGTACTGCCATGTCTTTTATCCCCCACAATAAAAACGTTACTAGAACCACCTTCTTCCACCTGCGTAATGTAGTAATGTAGGGACAGCTTTCGCTGTAACATACTACTAATTAATTATTCTTAAAGCTAGTTCAAGCACAAAGAATATTAATTGTTTAATTAACACGGATTCTTTCTTTTTCGAGTTAAATTTCTTCCATGTGACCAAGATAACTTGAGAGTGGAGTTTTAATCAGTGACATGAGACGTAATTTATCTTTGACCCATCAGAATAAATGCGGTCATTTATTAAAAAGAATCAAAATTTAACATCAAATGTACACTTGATTTGCTGATCTGTTTCTGATTAATACACTTGGCACGATTTACTAAACAAGACAACAGAAGATTACTGATTGAGACTGATTCATCTCTGAAGGCATCTAGCTTGATTTACTGGCGAATAGAAATTTAAAGAGAAGGAGAATAGAAGTTTAAAGAATTAAAGAGGAGGTTTAGATGGATGAGGGAAGATGTGTTGAACCAGAAAATGGCACCTTTCCTCCAACACCAGCTCAGCCCGTGGTACACTCAGGGCATGCAACGACTTGTTACCTTGCAGAGGATACATCAGCTCCGGAACAGAGGTCCATTGGCACGCTACCTTTTCAGCGTCTCCGGTCAGGGTGGCTGAGAATCTTTAGAAGTAGTTCCATATGCTCCGATCAACAGAATAAGCTTCCTCCGAAGTTGAGAGCATGTACTGCTCGGGGTGAGTCACAGCGAGGCAGCTGGGACTCCGCTGAAATGGAGGGACCATTGGCACATGGTCCAATCCATCAGCTATTTAGTTCACTTTCAGTAAGAACTGAAAGTTCCTGTATGACTCGCCATCAGACTGAGTCTCATCTTCGACTGAAAGTTCCAGGAAGATTGGAAAGACTGGGAAAACTGGAAAGATTTGGAAGACTGAATAGTTCCAAGAAGTGATGACTTTTAAAGGGTATCCACTTCCTGTCACTTGGTACTTCCTGATTGGTTGAAACAACCAGCAGGGGTGTAGTTTTAGTGATGTCAGAGGGTTATTAGAAGTCAGCAGACAGCAGAAATGTTTTAAGAACGGTTAGTACAGACAGAGAAATATTTTGAAGAAATGAGAGACAGCAGGTGCTATCAGGTTTATACAACGTCGACCCCCAATGTAGCAGACCAAGGAA